TAAAGAATTAAAAAATATACTTTGTCTCTGTATCCTACACTATGTACTTCATCCTCCATCCATTCATTCATTTAATCACTCACCAAACACTTCCCTCCCTGACCCCTTACTAGGAATAAGGTACCATGCTACTCACTGGGGGGCCAAGAAGAATCCAAGAATCTTCTGCCTTCTGGGGGCTCACACTGGAGGGGGGAAAACGGATGCAGAAGAGACAGTATTCACCAAATGCTTTCTTACATTTCCTAGCCTCCATTGCAATTAAGTTGGAGCCTTGTCACAAGTTCTGTCCGGTGAACTGTGACCACAAGTGATGCATATCACTTCTGGCCTAAGGCAGCTATGAACTGGTGTGACTTTAACAACTTTCTCCCCTTGCAGTGATGACCTTGGAGGTCACATGTGGTTAGATGACACAGCCATGGGATGGGCAGGGCCCCAGACTGGGTTAGATCCTGCCTGAAGGAGATATAAACCTTGATTGTGTTGTTATTCTCCCTCCTTTTTTTTATTGTGGCAAAATATACATAACTTAAATTTTTAACCATTTTTAAGTGTGCAACTCAGTGGCATTAGGTACAGTCCCAGTGTATACCCTTTTATTTTTAACAAATAAGTGAACAAGTGCTCATTTGAAACTTTGTGAGTCTCCCCCACAACTTTTTAGTACCCAGTGATGATTTTTGCTGGATACTGTTATTATCACATAATTTTATTTTATTTTTTAAAGATTTTATTTATTTGAGAAAGAGAGTGAGTGAGAGAGAGCACGAGCGGGGGGAGGAGCAGAGGGAGAGGGAGAAGCAGACACCCCGCTGAGCAGGGAGCCCGATGCAGGGCTCTATCCCAGGACTTCAAGATCATGACCTGAGCCGAAGGCAGACGCCCAACCAACTGAGCCACCCAGTGCCCCTTATCACATCATTTTAATACGACACATTTATGAGGTTGATTTTACTAATATTCCCTTTTACAGATGAGGAAATTGGAGCACAGAAAGTTTAAGTAATTGCCCAACTTAAATAATGTATTATGTATTAGGTGGGGTGGGATATTGAACCACGTCTGACTCTAACGTTCAAAGCATGCTTTATAGCAGGGGTTGGCACACTATGGCCTGTGGCCCAAATCTGCCACCTCTTTTTGTGATAAAGTTTTATTGGGACACAACCACACCCATTTGTTTACATATTATCTTTGGCTCAGAGGCCCAAGTTGTATAGCTGTGACAGAGACCATGTAGCCTGCAAAACCTAAGATATTTACTATCTGGCACTTTAAAGAAAAGGTTTGCTGACCTCTGCTTTATATAACAGGTCTTTAAATTTTTTATTCTAATTTTTATTAAAATAATACATGTACATATTGGAAAGTGAAATAGTGCTAAAAGTTTTATTTGGAAAAAGATCCCTGCTACACTATTCTCCACCCCAGTCCCACCCCTCGGAGACAGATCCGCTGCATTCTTTTCTTTCTTTTTAAGCCGGGACTTGAACTCATGACTCTGAGATCAAGACCTGAGCTGAGATCAAGAGTCGGACACAACCAACTGAGCCACCTGGGGGGAGGGGGAAGGGTAGAGGAGAAGCAGACTCCTCGATGAGCAGGGAGCCTGATGTGGGACTTGGTATCAGGACCTGAGTTGAGGCAGACGCTTAACTGACTGAGCCACCCAGGCACTCTCCCCACTTTGTTCTTTTAACTATTTTTTTCTGGCATTTACAATTGCATTCTAAATATGATCCTTATTCCACTATTTCCTGTTGTAACAATTTTAAATTGTTGGTTTGTTTTTTTTTTAAAGATTTTATTTATTTATTTGACAGAGACACAGCGAGAAAGGAACACAAGCAGGGGGAGTGGGAGAGGGAGAAGCAGGCTTCCCGCCGAGCAGGGAGCCCAATGCAGGGCCTGATCGCAGGACCTTGGGATCATGACCTGAGCCGAAGGCAGACGCTTAACGACTGAGCCACCCAGGTGTCCCTGTTGGTTGTTTTTTTTTTAAAGTAATCTCTGTGCCCAACGTGGGACTTGAACTCACAACCCGAGATCAAGAGTCTAGTGCTCTATCAGCTGAGCCAGCCAGGCACCCAACCTGTTTTAATAGATTGTGTGTGTGTATGTGTGTGTGTGTATGTGTGTGTTCCAATTTCTCCACATCCTCAACTAACATTGGTTATTCTCTGTCTTTTTTATTGTAGCTATCCCAGCATATGTGAAGTGTTTCTTTTTTTTAAAGTTTTTATTTAAATTCCAGTTAGTTAACATACGGGTATAATATTAGTTTCAGGTATATAATATATTGATTCTATTTTAACAATTTTTTGTTTTATTTTTTTAAGTTTATTTATTTATTTAAATACTCTCTACCCCCAACATGGGGCTTGAACTCACGACCGCAAGATCAAGAGTCGGATGCTCTTCTGACTGAGCCAGCCAGGCGCCCCTGTTATAACCATTTTAGACAATTAATTAACCTAGTGTAGGCCACCCTTCTACTTTTTCAGTGCCAGATTAGAAATAATTGATCATTCTTAGTTGAAATGTAGTGTTTTATGATCATTTAAATAATCTTTTGCATTTTCATCATACTGTACATAAGAAAGTTAAGACGCACTTAGCAATAGCTAACCTTTTAGGACTTCTTGTGTGTGCTATTCTAATGCAGTTTTCAAGCAGTATCATGTTAATCTCGACAGAACCCGTAGGAAATGCAGGTATTATTCCTTTGTCCATTTTCTAGATGAGAGAACATCCTTTAGAGAGATTGTGTGATTTTTCCCTTAGTCAAGCACCTAGTGGGTGTATAGCCAGAAACTGACATTTAGAACTTGAGCCCCTAAACGCTGTATTGCGGCGCCATGGGAGCGTCCCGCCACCTAACATTCCTAGATCTGTAGTTTTACTGTCAGCAAATAACCTGAAGACTACAGCAAGCAAGCTTGCTGAGGCACAACTTTTTTTTTTTTTTTGCCAAGTACTGTTTATCTTTATTTTGCACACACCCACAGCCAGTTTGCACCGAGTGATTTCATTTTACAAAAGGAGGCAAGGGTTGGGTGGTGTCAAGAAAGGTGACCTGTAGGGCGCCTGGGTGGCTCAGTCGTTAAGCGTCTGCCTTCGGCTCAGGTCATGATCCCAGCGTCCTGGGATGAGCCCCGCATCGGGCTCCCTGCTCTGCGGGAAGCCTGCTTCTCCCTCTCCCACTCCCCTTGCTTGTGTTCCCTCTCTCGCTGTCTCTCTCTCTCTCAGATAAATAAATAAAATCTTAAAAAAAAAAAAAAGAAAGGTGACCGGTAGAAAAGAATAGGAAGACAAACATTGGGAGCACATAATTAAAAATTTTGTTTGAACACACCAAAGAATCCTGCAGTTCTGCCTGCAGCGGCTGCAATCCTGGGCCACACGTGTGCACACTCCTTTGCAACTGGTCCGGTGACCGCAGCACCTTTCAGTTCGCCTTTACTGTTCACTGTGACCCCCACGTTACCTTCGAAACAGGGACACACACCGGCTTTTCTCCAGTAGGACTTGCGTTGTCCAGTTACCTGCCGGATATACCTTCTTTCTGAACTTGGTTTGCCTTTCTTCACTCTGGCCATCATCATGTCACCCCCACCAGCAGCAGGAAGCCGGTTCCATCCCTGATCCCCTTCGCCGAGATCATCTACAGATTTTTGGCTCCTGTGCTGTCAGCACAGTTGGTCACGGCTCCTACGGGAAGACCCAGGGAAATCCGGAATTTCACACCGGAGGACCCACCGTGTCCTCGCTTCCACATCTTGAACGCTGGAAAGGGACAGAAAGGCTGGGGCACAATATTGAATCCATCTGCTCTGAGACGGGTGTAGGGATCAGTCAGGTAGTGGGTCAGCCAGTTGCAGGTGCTTCTGAGGGTAATTCTGTTTTCTAATGGACTATACATTTGCATAGTCTCAGTCTAATGCATTGGCTCCCCAACTTGAGCTTGTGTCAGAATCACCTGGTGCCTTGGGCAAGCACTAACTCCTGGGCCTCCGCTCTAGTTTCTGATCCAGGAGGTCTAGGGCAGGACCTGAGGGTTTGCATTTCTAATAAGTTCCCAGGTGATGATGATGCTGCAACAGACCTAACTGGTCTAAAGCTTTATTCTTCCTGAATGTTAGGGCTGTCCACACTGCTCTCTCTTGCTCTTTAACTTCCCTGTTAGTCTTCCCCTACCAGCCAGCTTGTTAGCTCCTGGAAAGTCGGTCAGTTATTATGGCTTTTACCTTTTTTAAAAAATACATATATTTTATTTATTTCTTTGAGAGAGAAAGAGAGCATGAGCAGGGGTAGAGGCAGAGGGAGAGGGGAAAAGCAGACTCTGCACTGAGCAGAGAGCCCGATATGGGGCTTGATCTCAGGACCCCGAGATCATGACCTGGGCTGAAGATAGACACTTAACTGACTGAGCCACCCAGGCGCCCCTGGCTTATACTTCCCTTTTTGACCCCACTGAGGCCAGGATCATGTTGTTCATATAGTAGTAGTAATCAGTTGCTTGGTTAATCTCCCTTGGAGTGTCTTTGTAATTTTGACTTTTTCAATGATAAATATTGCAATTATAATACATTCTAATTATAAAAATCACCTTTAATAACACCATCACCCTAGCAAACATTTCATGGTTTGTTTTTTTAAGTAGGCTCCATGCCCAACGTGGGGCTTGAACTCATGACCCTGAGATCAAGGTTTGCATGCTCTACCAACTCAGCCAGCCAGGCGCCCCCACCCTAGCAAGAATTTTAACAGAAGGGTATAAGTGGTCCCTAAAGGATTTTCAATGCCATGCTGGAGGGTAGCTAAGCACTGAGGAACTTAGTCCTTGATTGGGGCAGTGCTTACAAATAAAGTGTTAAGTAAATAAAGCGACTTGTAGGATACTACATATGGATGATTTAATCTGATTTTGAGTAGAGGCTCCTGTTTTTTTTCTTTTAGCATTCTTTGAGATCTTTTTAAATCTTCTGTTTTTACAGAGGTCACCCGGAATCAACATGTCTGGGACTGAGGAAGCAGTTCTTGGAGCCCGTGGCAGCCATCCTTCCTCTGCTGGTGGCAACTCTGTATTATGCTTTGGACAGGTAACTGTGTGTTTTTCATACCTGGGAAGAATGAGGTTAAGTGAAAAGGTAGGAGAAAGTAATTTGTAGAGCATCGTCATATACTTGGAAGCTATTTATTGTCAGTGGGTTTTCCGTTAGGTGCATTATTTGGGAGTCTGATAAACTCTCAGGGCATTGTGGAACTTTAGCATTAGTACTGGGGATTACATTTAGATTTACATTTTGTTTATTTTTTTGGATAGATTACATATTCACGTGGTAAAACATTCAAAATGAAACGTAGACTATATGTGAATGAAAAGGCTTACTCTTTCCCCATCACTCCTATCTGCATTTCACCCAGTTCCAAAGATTTTGGTGTCATATTCTTTGTGGAGATATTCTGTGCATATAAAAGAGATTCTTGCTTTGTCCGCTCGATTCCATCTTTGTCTATACCAGAGATCTGTTGGTTCAAAGGTATTTCATTTAAATAGGGCAAGGGGAAAACTACCAAGGGGACAAAAGTCAAAACAAGTAGTAGTATATTTATGTACGTGTAGGATGGAAAATTGTTGAATTAGAGAAGAGGTATTTCCCCTACTCCCTTGCGGGCATAAACATATATACAGACTCTGAGGCGGGACGTTTCAGTTTACCAATTCTGGCTTGAGAAAGTTTTGTCAGGAGGGTGGTGACACCAGGGCAATGCCTCTCAAAATGTGGCCCAGTGACCCCCAGAGGTTCACCAGACCTCTTCCGAGTGCATGAGGTCAAGAAGAGTTCCTTAATAATACTAAAATACTTCTTGCCTTTTCCTTTCATTCTCTCTGAGTGAACAGTGGGGCTCTCCAGAGTACGCACGGCCTGGGGGGATGCTGCTTTGACGGCTGATGGAAGGTGTGCCTTAGAAGTTTCTCAGTTTTAATTCCTAGTATTGGTAGACATAACCCTGTAAACAAGAGCTCCTAGGGTCCTCAATACTTTTTAAGAGTGTAAAGGGTCTGGAGACCAAAAAGTTGAAGACTTGCTGACGTAGGAATGGGGGAAATGTCAATTTAATTTTCCTCTCTGGATTGCAGTATCAGTACACAGCAGAAGAGTACCAGGCCATCCAGAATGCTCTGAGGCAGAGGCTGGGCCCGGAATACATCAGTAGCCGCATGGCTGGAGGAGGCCAGAGGGTAGGAGAGTTGATATGCTTGAAAAGTGGGTGCCCCTCTAGCTGGCTACTCAGAGGATCTCGCTCCCTCTCTGGGTCTTCACGGATTCAGAAGGTCTCCTGCTCACTGTTGCTAGATGTTTCCTAGTGTCTTTGGGAGGGATGGGTTCCAGCCGTCATTGTCATCTGAAGCGACCGAAGTGTTGTCTTGAGACTTCCATACCTGCCATCTTGGGATTTTTACACCGTCTTTTAAAAATGTTTCTTTTACCCTTTGCTTCTAATTTTCACTTCTGTGTATATTTTTGGTCTTCAATAATATATGTCAGCCTGAGACTTGTACTTTTTTGGAAACTGTGAGTTTTGGAAACTGCTAGGTGAGTGGATATCTTTCCCCTCTGAGTCTAGTCCCTCCCTCCAGACAAAATATTAGTTCTAACTGGTTCCTTCTGGAAGATCTTTGAAATAAGTTCACTGAGAATTTCCCTGGAATGTTAAAGGGCAGTTTTGCCAAAAAAGCTGGTAAGGAGTAAATTAAGTAAATTTTGATTCTCATTTAAGTATGGCAGGGAATTTTAATAAGCTTTTTTTTTTTTTCCTCTTTAATTTCTTTTCCCAGGTATGTTACATTGAAGGTCACAGGGTAATTAATCTGGCCAATGAGATGTTTGGTTACAATGGCTGGGCACACTCTATCACACAGCAGAATGTGGGTATGTTTCCTGGCAACAGTGACTTCTTCATTTCCCTTACTTTGGTACTAATTTCGGATGAGAGTATTTTGTGGGTGAGGATGTAGGGTAGGTGTATTTTGTTGCCAGTAGGATATGGGTGAGGCACAGGGATCAGTATCCTCTTCAACTGGTTCTCTTTCCCACTCCTAGATTTTGTTGACCTTAACAATGGCAAGTTCTACGTGGGAGTCTGTGCATTTGTGAGAGTCCAGTTGAAGGTGAGGGTGATGGAATAGACCCACTGCCTCCAAGGACCGGGTGGGTGGTAAGAGAGAATGAGCAGGTAGAGAATTCTCTAGCCTGGGCCTAGAGAGCTAGGCTCTAGAGCTGGGGCTCAGCCAGTGTTCCTTAGGATGGTGGTACCCAAACATTCTTACTCACGTGCCCCCTAAATGAATTCTGAAAAACTTGTGTTTTCCTGCACATTTTAAGCTGACACCTAAAAATTTTCACCCAAAGTATAAATGCAGGTCCTCTGCATTTCAAAATTTTGTGTTACACTGCTCTGCTTTTATGAAAGACCTATGCTGGTACCTGTTTTCGCTTAACTGAAAGAAATCCAGAGAAGATTTTCACTTTTATGAAAAAAGGCACACCCTGGTGGCAAGAGTGGCCCCGCGAGTCCATCCCCGGGAACCACACTCAGCATCTCGGCAGAGCTTTGAACGCCATCTGTGAGCATCTGTGTTTTATCTCCATATGTTTTGTGCATCCGTTAGTAAGATGTGTCCTAAGGTATCAGAAAAGCCTAAGAGAGGTTATTTTTTGCATCTGGGAATGCTCAGAAAGTATTTCCATATAAATTAATGGTAATTCTCTGCTTTATGCCATTTTGGCTTACGAAAGTTTTCATGAGAACATTCTACTTTTGGATAACAGGGCAAACCTGTAGTTGCAACGGTATGTTTTTTAGCATATTGTAAAATCTGACATTCTAAAATAAATCTGTTACATTTTTATCTTCCTTTTTTATTCAAGTGTAATTAACATATGGTGGTATATTAGTGTCAGGTGTACAATATAGTGATTCAACACTTCTGTACATTTCTCACGGCTCATCAGGATAAGTGTCTCCTTTGTCCCCTTTATTCCATGTATATTTTGTTACATCCTTTTTAAATGTACCAATGGATTTTAAATATCATAAACGATTAAATACTGTCATCCACTTAAAAAAATACACGAGCAAGCTATTCTTTAATCATGAGAAATTTTACATTGTTTCTTCTCAAACTCATATTTCCATTCTATCTCCCCATTGGCTTTTGTCAGTATATATATATAT